TGTAAAAATTGTCCTATACAACAGTGTTTTAATACAAACTTAAAACTTTATGAATTGTTCTCTATTGAATTTATTATTCAAGTTTTTTTTATTTATTTAAAAAAATAACTTTATTCCAGTACTTTGCTATAACTTTACCTAAATAACAAAAAATATCATCATTACTATACAGAGAGTTGATACTCGTATATTTACGTTGCGTTCTGTTGGCGTCAGATCTTGTACTAGTTGGCATTGAGTCATAATGTTTTGTAACACTTCCTAAACTACTCCTCTTGCCAAACTTACCCCAACTAAAGTATTATATCTATTCAAGAATTGTTTTCAATTGTAGTTTTTTAGTTTACATACATAAAAATAATACGGTTATTATTTTTGTTTCTACTTTGTAAATAAAAACACTATAACTAGAAAAACTTTTTATGAAGGCGATTCAAGCTAGATATAAAAATGAAACTTGTCAAGAAATCCTGAGAAACATGGTTTAACTATTTTTATGTGGCACAATTTAAATCTAACATAATAAAAAAAGTTCAACATCTTAGCTACAAGATCTTTGCTGTGAAATAGATTTTGTTGAATTATTTTCTATTTAAGAGTTAACAAAAGCACCCTGCGGTTGCTTCGGACGAATAAATCCTGGACGTAGATAAAGTCAGCCAACTTGGCAGTAACTTATATGTTCTAAGTTCAAGTGAGAGAACTCGCTACTTACTTAAAGTGTTTTATACTATTTTTGTAGTTATTCGTCATGATTCTATTTCCTCTAAAAAAAATAAAAGTTAAATTATAAGCATTTTAAGTCTCTATCCCTTATGGCTCACTAGCTGTAGTCCGCGACTCTGTCTGCGAGGAGTAGCCTACGTGTTCTTTCAGATATTGTTCTACATCTGTTCTTAATTACATCAAGAGCCATACAACTGTTCTGAAGACCATTTCCATATCAATAAAATAAGAAATATTATATTATGTTTTTGCAAAATTATTAATTGTTAGATATTGCGAGTATTTCCAGGCAGATTATTGTTGTATGTAGGTACTTTATTGTATTAGTAAAAAGAATCTAAACCTTGGTTAAAATGTCAACACTCCTATAAAATTAGATTTCACGTTTGTTTTCATTTTATTTGACGTCCATCGTCCATCCTATACAAGGGAAAAAACAAGTTAATTGAATTTCTCGTTGTAACCCTCTGCATAACGAATGAAAAAACAAATATTTTATAATTTACAATTCCACCCCATTGTACAGAGAAATAACAAATAACAATTGCGATACTAACTAACTTAAAAGAGAATGCGATAATCAACATCGACCTTAAATAAAAACAATGAAATAAACATTTGATTAGGAACGTTTTATGGCGTTTTCTCTCTAGTACATTTATTCAACTATGCAAATCTTTCGTAATGAATTACTTGTTCACATAAAGACAGTAAAATCATTATCTACTAGAACTAGAAAAAATGCTTAGTATGAAGTTAGCAATGAAAGTGGAATATCACCAAAAATAACATAGTCTTTTAGTAGAAAAATTAACAAAAATGTACTTTTAGCTACAAATAATTTTTGTAGCCGGTTGTTAAAACATTTACATGGAAGTTAAAAGAGCAGAGAACCTCTAAAAGCTTTGAGTCATAATTAAAAAGATATTACGGACAGAGAGGGCGGGCGCGGCGCGGCGGCCGGTTCCTGCGCTTTTTTCATGATGTTTGTTTTTTACTTTCTTATTTACTCAGTTTCATTCAAACTTATTAACATTACATTTTTATATTATAAATCAACGAGACAAGTTGTTGCGTCCAGTAAAGAAAATTCCAAAAAATGAAAAATATCCTGAAATTTTAAACAATCGAAAGCCATTAACCCAAATCAGGAAATAGTATAACTTTGAAACATATTATAATGTACGTCTGCAAAAATTTATTTCCAGCTCAAAAATTATTACCGTACAAGGAATTTAAAAAATATTAAGCAACAAATGAAATAATACGAAGAAAGACTTTAAAAACATTTCTACATCTGTGGCATTGAACCCCCTGTACAACTCTCACAGCTGTAAAATAAATGAAGTCACAGCTTCATTCATTCCGCCCGACTCTCCCCTCCCCTGGGCAACGGGTATTTGCATAAAAATTGAAAAAGAAAAATAATATAAGTAAAGCATAAAATCCAGGCGCGTAAATAGATTTTACTGGGTCCTGGAAAAAAGTCGGGTTTAGCTGATAAAATTATTGAAAAAATCTCGACTTCAAACAAATTATATTTATTTATTTGCCTTATTAAATGGTCTTTGATATGTATTAAATACATACGATATCTGTTAAATTAATTTACATTTCTACAAAGAAATATTTAGTGTATCTTTTTCTGAAGGATACATTTTTATTGATGAATTTGAGACGTGAACAAATAGCAAAATAAAATAAAGAATATTTCAGTATTTCCACTTCATCGTGCACTACACAGTACAAATTGAAATCGTTTATTCTGCAGCATTCCATTACAGCGGCCCACGGATGGGTGACCGCGCCATTACTCTCGCTCACGAGACGCGAGATACGCCTGTACTAGGATAAATATCCTCATAGATAAGCGATACATAAGACAGAGATATGTGCTTGTATCCGATGCATCTCCGATGTGGCGCTATCTACTTAATCACAAACGCTGGGGTTATGTTGCTGTGTCGGAGCCCTATCCACTCATTTCCTATCAATGTAAGAGAATAAAAAGTACTTAAAGAAAATGTGTCAACCGTAAATTTTAATTCAAGTTATTTGTGTAACATGTTTTTTCAAATAAATTGTAAACAAAGATCAAGTTCGATTTACAGTGTTTACTTTCTTTTAAAAAAGTTTTTTTTTAACTTGATTGATTCCTTAGCCGCGATGTTATTACGTCACTGTGATTCATCGTAATTTCGATAACAATAAAATGTATCCAATATTTATAAAAAAAAGCTTGTTCCAATATAAAAAATGTCTATGTCCCGGCTTAGTTCTAGTCATTAATGTGTTCGGCAGAAGGCAGAAGTGTAAAGTTGTGCAACAATTCACAGCTTAGCGCGCCCCAGCGGGTACAACTAACGAACCCCTGATGGATCCCCTCCCCTTCCAGCCCACCGGCCGGGGCTCAGCTCCAATCAGCTGTTAACTTAAATCGGACCTTTTATTTAAAACTATTTTTTTGACATCGAATTTTTTAGTACACTTCAATTTATTCAATTTGTAGTCACTTTTATATATTTTACTATTATTTTATTAGCCTTTCAATATTGCTAGAGAATTTATTTATCTTTTTGGACTACATTTATTAACTACATAAAATATATCTCTTTCTAATTATTTTTCTTTAAAACAATTCTAAAATATTTGAATAATTAATATAATACTACAACAATTTTAAGAGAAATCATCGCATTGTTGTGAAATTTAAATGGCCAATTTGCAACAAATTTAGCTGAGCAATAAGCGCACCACTGATTCTGTGCTCACAATTATATTGTGTAATAAATAAATATATATATCTATAGTCCATATGTAAATATCTGTTTTATTTGTTGTTTGAATATATTTTTGTCAAATTAACCTGTTCGACCTGTTTGTTTAATTTTTGTAAAGAAATTTTAACATAATTATTAAAACTATCACCGCAACAGAGTGCGGTAAAGAAGCATATTTCCTCTGTGTAAATGTCTCTTAGATTTAACTTGGTATTTGTGGCAATTAAGGAACTTTAGAAAGTCATAAAACAAGTTCAGCAAGACGTTAAGTACACTTACGTCGGTAGGAATAATTTAGAGCGCGCTCGCCTGCGCATGTGCCTGTGAGCCTCACTCTAATGTTTGCTCTAATTATTTACTTGCGCCTCAGAACTTAAAGACAATAGTGTTATTCAAATTTCTCAATAACATTTCTTCAACTCTTACATAACTAGACTAGAAATTAATTTGTATAAGAACTAATTAAAAAACGAATCGCACAAAATATTACTCTTGTGAGTAATTCAGGTAAAAAATGTGAACAAAACACATATTCAAATAACTTTAGATGTGTAACAAACATAGAGGTAACGACTTCAAAGGTATGAGAATACCGTAAAGCTTCATCCCAAATTGCTCTGAAAGCAATTCGGAACTTTTTAATTATCTTTGTTGTCGGATATCGAATGGAATCAAATCCCCGACAAGAGCGCGCCATTTGCGGAGCGACGCTCGTTAAACAAAAGGAGTCAACGAGCCGAAGCTTGTGCAATTATACTACGCTTTATTCCAACAAAAATGACATAAAATCAGTTAAATAATTCATCGCGATAAGTTATGTCATTGATTAATTTGAAACAAATTAAGTAAATGTTATTGTACATTTAACTCATAAATAATATTATGATAGAGGAGAGGACGCATAGCTAGCGGAATTATACTCGTTCTTTGCGTTCCCTTTTTCGTCGATGTCTATGAACTGCGATTGCTTCAAAGCTAAATTACCTTGTTTGCCACTTTGTGATATAAAATATTAATACAATAGTTAATTTGAGCAAGTTGTATGTATGTATGTATGTAAGTATGTAAGGCTACAAGTTTGCAGTGAGGTCGATGTCTGCGGTGTATCAGATTAGATATCATCAGAGCTTCATTTGAATGTTGTTGATTGATACAATTGATTGCTTTATCTTATTACTAACAGCCTCATGTCTCTGTATTATATTACATTAACACTTTATGACAAAATTGGGCTTTCTCTTCGGCCGATTGATCAGAAACTACCATTACGATATTTGTTGGTTTAATGTTTTGAATAGGCAAGAAATGTTTAAAACAGAAATAAAAATTAATAAATTATTATTAATTTAATAAATTAATTAATTTTCTTATTTAACGTTTAATGTTTTGATAACAGAATGAATTTGATGTCTAGGAACTGTCACCGGATCTTTGAGTAAGATACGAGAGGTCGCCGCAAGCATCGACTTAATCAATGTTTATCATTATCCAACAATTATATAAATATAACTGCGCAGTGCAATCTATCACTTGCACCATACTAGTACTATAATCATTTTACTAAATATATTCTAACTAAAGAAGCAGGGGAACATTTTAATTCGACCTAAGTTAAACTTGTTCACTGTAAAATCTAATTTTAAAACTATTTGCAATCTTTGTTCATGAAGGAAATGTTTTTATTAAGCCATAAATATATGTTCTCCAGATGTTTATCATACTTGTGAGTATAATTTTGGTATCGCTGGCGTGGCTGGTGTGGCAGAACTGGACGCGCCGGCGGGACTACTGGAAAAGGCGCGGCGTGCCGTATCTCCCGCCCAACCCACTGCTGGGCAGCCTCACTTTCCTGCAGAGAGAAAATCCTGTGAGTGTACCATCAAACATATCTCAATGAAAACAACATATCCATTACATATTGTATTATACACGGCATTTATCAATATACGATCCTTGAGATTAGTCCAAAAATTGTTGTAATTACTATGTTTTTACATTCAGTACAAAGATTATTCGATCGTCATTAACTGCTATTACCTGACCTGTTACAATGTCATATTAGAACAAAATAATTTAAAATGTTAATTCAAATAACGCGGATAAGCGAAAATAATTCCTGGATGAATATTACTTTCAGCCATTACCAATTTTATCGTGAACACCATTTTTGTATTAAAACCTTTTTGGTTTCTCAATTATACATGTTTTATGTATATGTTTGTCAGTCACATTGTATATGTTTGTCAGTCAGTATGGATGCGTCGAATGTACGACAGATTCCGGTGCCCGTACGTGGGCATTTGGCTGTTCTGGAAACCGGGACTTATAATAAATTGTCCGAACATCGCGCGGAACGTGTTGGTCAAAGACGCCAATGTGTTCAAGGACAGGTTCCTCAGCTCGGGGAAGAGCGATCCCGTCGGCGCTCTTAATCTGTTCACCGTCAAAGTAAGACGAATTATTGTTGTTCATATGTTTTAATTAAAATTATTGCAACACATTCATATAATTATTATTATATTTTTACTGATGTCTGCCTTCTTATCTAATACGTTTAAGAAAACAAAATGTATAACAACAAGCTAAATTTAAGTATCAACATTGATTGCTCAATATACGAGTATTTTGTTTCATTTCTTTTTTTAAATGAATAAAGTTGTATCTAAAATAAAAATGTAATAACTAAAAGATCCCAGTTTGTGTCGATGCGTACATACCTTTAGTAAGCTCTCTGTATTGTGTGAGGATCCGCTGTGGTCGTCTCTGCGTCGGCGGCTGACGGTGGTGTTCACGTCGCACAGACTACGCGCGCTGCACCACCTCACTGCAGACAAGTGCGCTCACCTCGTGCAAAGGATACGCAATGAAATCCAACAAAACAAATACACAGATCTGAGGGTAAAGTTTGTAACATTACATTCACCTCTGCAAATAGTTATCAATTGATTATCTCTTCCTATTTATTGGCATTGGGTGTCAATAGTACTTACTTTAACGTATTAAAACCTAAATGCCACATTCGCTGATGTACCAATCTCAAAGCATAACTAGCAAAAAGCTAACGACATTACATTCTTCTAATTTAACTTACTTAGGATCCTCCTTCGTTCATTTGTTTTTGTTAAAGAAGTAATATAATTTTATTACCTGTTCTAGGTATTATTTGCAGACTTCACGACGGATATAATCGGATGTGCGGCATTTGGTCTGGACGGTGAGGCGACGCTCACCGGTCACAGTGCCATGCGCACCGTGACGCGTCCCTTCATGGCATTCAGCGCGCTGCGGGGACTTTGCTGGTCCAGTATATTCTTCTGCCCACAACTCGTCGACGTCTTCGGGTATAACTAATCGTATATTTACCCAGAAATTAAACTTCGTATTTGGGCATGAGCTAACGAGCGGCAAATGGCCTAATGATCAGACGCCCATAAACATTCGCAACACCGGAGGAGCTGCAATTGCGTTACCGGATTTTAAATATAGTTACGCTTAGAAACTCACAAGCAAAAAACCACTACAAAAAACGAAATATTTAAATCAAAAACAGGTTTTGGTATTTTTGGGCTATAAATGTCGTGATGGAAAATTAAAAAATCTGTGTAAAAGGCTTTACGAAATTTTCGAGCTTTTACGTTTCTATTTATTTATTTGCAGATTTTCTCTATTTCCTGAAAGCGCAACAAAATATTTCAAAGAAATATTTCGAACAGTGGTTGAGAAGCGCGGCGGATACGACAGAAAAATTGATGAGCCCAAAGATTTATTGGATGCTCTTCTGAAAATACGTCAGGAAAGTCTCAATGATAAAGAAGGTAATTATACTGAGGATAGAATCAAAAAAGTAGCAGTTATTTAGTACTCGGAAACAATCGTTGATCCGAAAATTATTTTAATTACTTTACTATTGCGATGTTTCTATCGGTTAAAGAACCAAATGGATAAAAACAGTTGATATAAAAAGCAAATGTGGTTCGAGATCAAATATTGATTTTAGCTGTATTTTTTTAGAAATTTCCGAGGATATTATGGTTGCTCAGGCGGCGATTTTCGTGGAAGGAGGCTTCGACACATCCGCCGGAACTATGACATATGTTATATATGAATTAGCATTTCATCCAGAAATACAGGTACATAGGTAAAACATAAAACTGTACCATGTTGTAAATTGAACATATATTTAATGCTATGTTGAATTCTAGGACAAGGTATATGAAGAACTTTTAGAAGCAAAAACTGAACACGGCGTAGAGGGACTCGATGCAAATGTTCTGGCTGGTTTGATTTATTTCAATTGCGTTATTAAAGGTATTCTATTATTAATATAAATGTTAGCTACACATATTTTAAGAAAAGAACTGATTTTATATTTCTTCTTATTTTAGAAGTTACAAGGAAATACAGTTCAATGGGATGGCTGGACAGGATTGCGTCACAGGATTACAATATAGACGAGAATGTGACAATATCCGCGGGCACGCCGCTCTATGTGAACGCTATCGGCATGCATTACGATCCAGATTATTTCCCTGATCCAAACAAGTTTTATCCAGATCGTTTTTTGCCAGAAAATGAAAAGAATATAAAACCTTTTACATTTATGCCATTCGGTGAAGGACCGAGAAGTTGTATAGGTAACTAGAGTTCTATTTTTACAACTGATGTCAAAACTACAACAATGCCACTTCAGTAAAGTTCAAAGTTAGCGAGATTGTCGATCTAAATAAAGAAAATAAAGTTTCCGCGATAAGGGTAAACTGAGTGACATCTGTTACCGGGTAAAAAATTCCGGCTTGTAATAAAACTCCATGCTTAGGCTTGTATATTAGAAATTCCCTTGACTTGGTCTGTGAATAATGTTGCCCATTTCAGTAGCTTAATACAGCGCACATGTAGAGAGTTCATTCTTATCATTTTCACAACATATATTATACAAAATAAAATGAACTAGCTATATCGCTTTTTTCTATTAATTATTTACTCTGTTTCTTTTGAATAATTTAGTTGAATGTTTTACTTTAGTTAGCTATTTTTCTAGGCAAACGATTCGGTCTTCAGACAGTGAGATACGGGCTAGCGCATGTGCTGCTAAACTACGAAATACAGGCTATACCTGACTCCCCGAAGCCCTCGCAGGCCAAGATAGAGAAGAGGGGCATGTTCCTGATGCCCGGTGAACCGCTCTACGTTAAATATATTCCGAGATGTGTTAAATAGATTTAAATATTTGTGTTATTACAAGCTTTTATTTAGTTTCATCTGTACCGATGTTTGTTATCAAATTTTGCTAATTAAATTTCACCCACTTCCTGGTTACTGTTTGAGTTGAAATTTAGCGTACAAATGTAAATCGCGTGCAATGCAGTATTATCATATGAGTATGAGTATATGAGCTGATGATGGAGCTGGAAGGTGGCTATCGGAACTTCCCATTGAAACGACATAACCTTATTAAGTTTGGTTAACAAGAACATAAAAAAGCTTGCTTTTAATAAGCTTTATTTTCTTTAAATTATTTGCAGTAAAATGTTATACTCAATTTGGTCAATGAAATTAAGTGACTTATCGCTTTTTGAAATGTTGTTTCATTTTGTTGAACAGAGTCATCATATATATTTCGTTACAGCCCACAAAATAATATAAAATGGCGATATAATTATCTGACTCGGAACGTTTAAAATGTATCCAATTTAATGGCTGCAATTCCGTATTTCGCGTCGGTTTCAAGATCGGCCTGTATATTAAACCTTATCGTTGAAATGCATTCGATTTATCCTCCTCGGGGAATAAAAGCCAATAATGAGATCCGTTCCATTTTTCAGAGCGCTCGCTTCACCAGCACTCGCAATGTGCATCAAAATCAGATAACATTTCTATACAATATCAACTGTACAAATACTTAGTATTTCTACCTGGCGTTCAAATTCAAATTGCGAAAATTCTATGAAAATATATTAATGATTTCGTAGAATAAATAACAAAGCAAATGGTTAGATAACATTATAATTTTTGTATAATATTTAAAAATAGAAATTATGCAGTGGATTTCTGAGACTTTACTTCTGTTTTGTCAACTATAATGACAGGAATGACGATGTGTTTCATACAGAGATTTCAATCTCAGAAAACAACGGTAAATATGTTAAAGTACATTGATAATGTAAACTTTTACAAATAAATTCACGTCAGTTAATTGTATAAATGTAGCGATATAATCAATTAAAATGTGTATTTGTCGTTGCGTTGCAGAGAGGTTGCACATTTCAAGTCGCGATAATTGCTACTCCAGTTTCAATAATTGGAAAAGCCGTGCATTCAGTGTCGCGTGTGCGCGTGTCGCGTGTAGCGTACGATCTCACAACATGGCAATGAGACCCTCATAAATTCACTTCAGATTTACTCGTAAATAAAGTTCGCAATAACTCTATTATTTACACGTCAAGATACATATGAACAATCGAGTAAATTGGGAGCAAGTGAAATTTGGCATAAACGTTAGAACATAGTCTAAATGAACACATAGGCAACTAATTAACTTTTTTCTTAAACCCCCGCAAATGGAGTCGCGGGCGACAGCTAGTTTTCAAATAATTTCCTCGCTGTGTACATTATAAAGTCATTTAAAATTTTACTAACAAAAGTTGTGCACAAACAAACTGTTAAACGAGATTCGTAACAAAATTTGAATGCAATCAAAGTTTCGCAGAATTTGGCTCGAAGTAGGGGCGGGGCGGTAACGTCGCCAACTTAGATTGCACGCCTTTGTCACACAACTGAGAAAAACTACGCAACTTGACGCAACTACACTTCACGCGATACACGCAAGTGCACACAAATGTATTGCCCTGATATTGACACCAACTGTTGCCGACATCCTGCGGACTCTACCACTGCTAAACGCTATCACAGATAAGATAGCGGGACATTTTTTTAACTAGCTGTTGTAATGATTTTGTCTCTCCCTCCGTTTTCAAACAAGAGTCTCCATGTCCTTAATATTTACTTATTAGTGCTAGTTAGTGTTTAGCTTAGTAGTCATAATTATCATAAGGTCCAACTTTCATTAATATAGTTTCAGTATAATTAAGCACGAGTTATAAAGGAAAATAAATTAAAAAAAGTATAGAAGCGGACCTACATGTAGTAAATTATTCAACAAAGCTGGCGGGCAATTGTAAAGCAGACGAACTGCCCCCCGCGCCCCCCGGAGCCCGGAGCTTTGAGAAGCGCCTCTGAAAAATCCCATTTAATACAGCCTCCGTTGAAAAGGGTAAGTTCAACAACGTAGGTGTAATTTTAAAAGCGTTTATTTAATATTTTTGGCAGCAAAATTCTCTTAGATTACGTTTTATGTTCTTTTAATTTCAAATTAAAAATGAATATAATTAAAACTGACGTTGTTCATAACAAAAACAAATCAAAAGAAAAAATATTGCAACAAATACTTGCTTGTTTTTTTTTAATTTAATGCAGATAAAGTCCCTTTTAAATTAAAAACCACAAATTATCTCGTTTTTGGTAAAAGTAAGACTAAAAGCATCTTCCAGGCTCATCGGCTGCGGCTGCCGACTTGTGAACTCAACTCAACTGTAATACAATTTGCTTTTTGTCGCCCTCCCCTCCCCCTCTCC